AAGGCGTGCCATTTAGAAAGCCAAATGAGTCACATGCAACCCTCAGACCCTAATTTTACCCATGACTGTTCTAAACCTTTTCACTCATGAAAAAAAAAAAATTTTAAATGTATTTCTTTCTTCATTTGGGTATATCAACTGTCATAAACTAGTCTGAGGAGCCCTGCTAGGGATTGATCCTTAGCAAGTTAGTCTCGCAAACCATTTCTATAAAAGAGAATTCAAACCTCAGTCAGTTGCACATACTTGCAGCATATATTAATAATTCTACTTTGTTCATGAATGATGAAATAAACCCTTAATATCAGGAGGTTTGTAATGGATGTGGTGTCACAGGTAAGAAAGAATGGAAATACAATGACTGTGATGTGCTATTGAATGAATGAATTAGAACAACTAATTTCTCTCTCCTCTTTGAGACATACAACAGGACATAGAAAAGAACACTTTCACTTTCAAAGATTTTAATATTTTAATCATAAAAAATCTTTTCTTCAAAAAAAAAAAAAAAATTCTCCCCATTTCTAAGGAAGATTGTTTTCTGTAATGAAAATGGATGAGGCACCATCAATGAAAAATTATCTTGAATATTTTGAGTACTGTGGCCCATTGCAAGGTGAACTGCACATATCACAAAATGTTCCCATACCTGGCTTAGAATCTACCTTTCTATATAATTAACCGTGTGACATTTTCTGTTTCTTTGTTTCTCTGTCTGTAATGATAGACTCACTTACCAGGAAAATTATTAACAAAATTATTCTCACAACTGAATAATGAACTAAGCCATTGTCATGGGAACACCACTTGAAACAAGCATTGTGTTACCATAACAACATAATTATAAAAAAATTAAATATTAAAAATTATAAAAATGGAATAATAATAAAATTCAGTTGTCATGGAGTTAACATAGGACAGGCTCCATACCACTCAAGATAGTATAGCAACAGATAAATATAATTTATTTTCTAAAAACAATAATTGTAAAAAATGCAAATATATTAATTAATTTTTTACAGGTATTAATTAGTTGTATAAATAACTTTTGCTTTTTGAGTTAAGGCTTATGGACATATCACATTGAAACACTGACTCTCATATGATCACCAAAGTTAGGCAACATCAAGTCTGGTCAGTATCAAGATGGGTGACTGCTTGGGAATACCAAGTACTGTAAACTTGGATTTGCAAACGGTGTAATGGATAAAGGCTCTAAATTTGAAACCAGAGTGTTGAGTTCCAATTCCAGTCTAGTTCATTATATTCACTTACACACAAATACCCTTGGGAAAAATAAAGACCTACCTCTTCTCCCCAGTTAAGGGTTAATTAATAGGACATATATCAATAAATCCTTATTTTCTCCAAAAATTCTTAAAATCTAAACATATTTTCTAGCTTTAAATAGTCTTCAAAAGGTTGATGAGCTGTAAAAACAAATCAATCATTTTAAGTTACTAATCAATCAATCTTTTTAAGTTACTAACTTGTTAGTGCTTCTGGCTACTAGGTGTCAACTTCCTTTATTTGACCTCAGTTGAAGTCACAGTGTCCAAAACTCCATGCCACACTTAATTGTGGACTACATAATCTTTACAATGACTCTATGGTATGAGCTTTGCCAAGGCTATGCACAATTTTAAATTCAGATTTGTCCTTCTAGATTGGTTTCCAGCCACAGCTAAAGAACCCAGTCTGCCCTGTTATTTAACCCATAGCACAGGAGAGAAGAAATTGATTTTTATCTTTCGTAATGGTATTTTTGGGAAAGAGAACTCAACCAGAATTTGCTCAGCTTACCAGTTTCTCCTTTCATGTAGCAAACCACAACATCACCTATACATCTAAATGCCAGCTAAACACCATTATAAGTCACTAGTATCATTAGTTCAATCCTTACCAATGCTCTACAAGGGTAGTCTTGTGTCAGACTAAGCTTTTCGTATGAAATAAGTATTGTATTTATGTCTATAAGGATTGCAAGTTATAGAAAAATATTTAACTGTTAAAAAAACAATTTTATCGCATGAACCAATCAATCAAATATGTTACTCTTTCTCAAGTGTCTGCTTAAATGTTTTATCCATGTTAATGGCACAAACAAACTCTTTTTGGTGTAGTCTATAAAATTTAATGATTTCTCATTAAAGAGAAAATGTTTCCTTTATATGTTCTTTATTTTTCTCTCGTTCTGTTAGGGAATCACATTTTAGGTTCTGACTGATAGAATCAATTATCATCAGGCATTGATTCTATCAAAGACAGCCCAGGGAGTTGATGCTATCAAAATGTATAGATTTTTTTTTTCATGGTGGAAAGAGAAATGGAATAACCAATGACAATCAACTGAAATCTTGTGAAACTGCAGAGTCAATAAAAGACTACTTCTTCTTCTTTATGTGACATGTTCCCTCAGGACGTATGTGATCATGGCTCTCCACAACTTCCTGTCCCTTGTAGCTCTTAATAAACTTTATATTCCTGTTATTTGTCCTAAGCCCTGTTCAGCCATCCATTTACTCAAGCTCACTAAGTATGTTATGTGTCATCTTCCTCAGTCTCTCTTGCCCTCTATCTGTCCTGTGAGTATCAAATTTTCCAAGCTCTCCTTCCTCATTATATGCTCCAGAAACCTCAACTGTCTATTCCTGATGTTAAGTTTTGTTTCCATTTTCTCCAAAACTTTGTTGTTGCTCACATGTTTGGTCAATGGTATCCTTGGTATTGTTTTTTTTTGTTTTTGTTTTTCATTTAAACACTTCCTACATTAATTTTCAAGCAATATATTTGCTTCTATTTTCTCTTCTGTGGAGATATCTATGTAACTTTTTCAAATTCAAAAGAAATAAAAATTTTGTTTAATTGATTTGTTTTCTAGGGCCTATTAAGGGTTATTTAAAGCCAGAAAATATATTTTTTTTAGATTATAAGAATTTTTGTTTTTGAAAATAATGGTTTAGTGGTACAAGTCTTGCTAATTAACACATAGCTGGGGGGAGAAGAGGTAGATTCATACCTGTCCCAAGAATATTAGTGTGTAAGTGAATATAACAAGCACAACAGGAATTAGAATTCAGCTCACCAGTTAACAATTCTGAGCCATTGTCTATAACACCACCCACATATCCAAGCTTATTCTCAAGCAGTCACCCACCTAGGTACTCCCAGGCATGACGTTAGTTCGGTGATCAACATGATGTGGTTGTAAGCCTGAATAAAGATTTTAATCATCTCACTATGCAATAAAATTATAGATTCTCCAAATCGCAAAATGATTTAAAACTGTAGCAATATTTTTATTTTTTAATCGTGACACTGATGCAAATGCCCACAGCATTTTCTGACAAAATTATTATTCCATATTTACTTAATTTCTGTTTTACCTTTCCCCAATATGGCTGAATATAAAATGCACATTTACTGTTGTTTTTATTCATGTTAAATACTTGTGCCACCAGTGAATAGTGAAGTGCTCAATAATAAATTCATCAAAAGAGCGATCACCTTACAAAGTTTTGTGAGAATTGGTCAGAAGCACACACACACAAAAAAAAAAAAAACTACATACAGGTCCAATAGGCAAATCAATTCCACATTTATCTCCATTCCTCCATCTCAAGTATGCAACTCATCCTCAGAAATGAGACTCCTTTTGAATGTGTGTGCTATGCTTTTATGCACCTGACCCAGCCATCACTAAGGCAATGAGCATCCAGAACCAGTCAATAAAAATGGCTACAGGTGCCACTATGCCTTCTGTTCACACAAAGTGCTGCCCAATTCATCTTCAGTCTGAAGCTTGCCAATTCACCGTCTCCACACTCCATTGCAAAACATACATGTGACTCTGGCCATTTTGGGTCATTGAGGTAAGTCTCCACGACAATATTTCAAAGGACTTTCTCAAGGTGTGGTATATATGGCTGCTACACAAACTATCCAGCTATGGCATCTATGGCTTAGTGGATAAAAGTCTGTGTAAGAATTGGTTGGAATCACATACAAAAAAAAAACTACAAACAAGTCCAATAGGTTCAATTGGCAAATCAATTCCCCAATTATCTCAGTTCCTCAATCTCAAGTATGCAAATCATCCTCAGAAATGAGACTCCTTTTGAATGAGTGTGCTTTGTTTTTATGCACCTGACCCAGCCATCACTCAGCCAATGAGTGCCCAGAACCAGCCAATAAAAATGGCTACAAGCAGCACCACCACTTCCATCCACATAAAGTGCTGCCCGATTCACTTTCAGTCTGAAGCTTGCCAATTTGCAGTCTTCACACTCCATTGCAAAACATGCACCTGACTCTGGCCCTTTTGGCTTGTCGAGGTAAGTCTCCACTATTTCAAAGGACTTTCTCAAGGCATGGCATAGATGATTGCTACACAAACTCTCCAGCTATGGCATCTCTGAAAGAATTTTTTGAATTATCAAGTCCTTCCTAACTACGAAAGCCTGTGAGATCAGCCACAAGGCTTTTTTTTTTTTGATCTGACCCTCTTTGTGCTTTAATGATCTGCCATTAACAGATCATTAGTAAGTATCTAGGCAAATGATAAAACAGTATAGGTGATCTGAACCTAGTAGCTGATCTCTCCTCTGACTTAGCTCTAACAGGGAAAAATTAGTTTGTAATATTTAATACATCCAGAACCAAGCTATTAACATTTCATCATCACAGAACAATTGGGAAATACTAACACTGCCATTATGTTGAGCTTGATTGAATTTGCTTGACTTCATGACACTATCCTTCCAGGTCATTCATGGCAACTGATATCTTATTGCATCCAGAAGATGGAAGGAGATGGTCAGTGGATGTCTACAAAGAGACCCTTACTAATTAACCCATAGCAGTGGGGGAGAAGAGGTGAATTCATACCTTTCTCAAGGGTATTTACACATGTGAATATAATGATCTCAACAGGAATTGGAACTTGGTTCTCCAATAAAATTTCCAAGCCATTATCCATTACACCACCTACACATCCTAGCTTACTGCATCTGGTATTCCAAAATAGTCACCCATTTAGATACTGATCATGCTCAATGTTGCTTAACTTTAGTGATCAGATGGAAACTGGTGTTTCAATGTGATGTGGCTGTAAGCCTTCTTGATACAATACAGGAAGTAAGGTAATCCCCACTTATTTATCTATGTTCCTCTCCTCAGATGTCTGTGAAAACAATGAAATCCTAATAGGAGTAGATAAGTTTGCCTACCATTTCGTTCACACTTCTTCCCTGTATTTTGAAGAGGAGTAGATGTTTATCCCTTGTATCCTTTTTAGGATTGGGTTTCTGATTTCTTCTAAAGTCTACTTCAACTCTATACTTTTAATGTCTAAACTCTGTGATGTAATGGAGTAACCAGTCACCCCCATGAATGATTACGCTATAGGTAGTAGGCACCTATAAAGTCCACTGTCTACGAGACTTGACAGAGAGAGGGGAAGTGTGAGCGAGATGACGCAAGCACGTCCGACCTTCCAATTAGTGGCACTCTCTACTAGATTGACCTGTGTGTATAACTGTATTGTATTTCATATTGTACTTGTTGTGTACAATAAACCTTTCTTCTAGTATCCACCTGGTGTTATGTGTTTATTCCCTTAGCATGGAATATAACACTCTGAAATTTTATTTATTATATTTTTTGATCCAATAAGAATAGATATGTCAACCTATTGTCTGGTTTACACTCCTCCCTGGTTTTTTGAACAAGAGTAGATGTTTATCCCTTGTTTCCAATTTAGGATTGGGTTTCAGTTCCTTCTAAAGTCTTCTCATTCTATTTCACTCCAAGTAGTGGCTGAATTGATTAAAATCCAATGTGTAAACAAGAATCTTCTATGATGATAGCCAAGAAAACATTTAGAAATAATATGATATTATCATTATAAAGATTAATAACAGCACAAGACTAAACCTTTCCTATATAAGATTATAGCTTATTCCTCTCCAGACTTTGTCAATTAATGTCAGCAAGTGGGTGAGTGGTTTTAGGAAGCTTAAACTTAAGTAACGATCATTAGTTTTCTCCATTTTGAGTCACTATTTTTTACCAAGCAATTCTCTTGTGATATTTTGTATATCCAGTTTCGTATGTTCAAACAAATAAAGATTCACTTTACCATTACTTGAATGTATTTTTTTTGTACTCAACAGGAACAAGATAATTTCATTAGAAGCAAACAAAAATGTACTGAACTCCTATGTACTTCCAGTCCTCCAACATGGCAGTGAATATCTTGCCTGTGTTTCTGAGATGAGGTATTCTAACTATTTACACTATTTACATCATTCAGACTGTTGTTCTCATCTTTATTGTCATATTCACAGTCTATATTTCTGAGATGAGGTCATGTAACTATTTACATTATTTACATCTTTCGGACTGTTGACCTCATCTTTATTGTCACATCCACTGTCTATATTTCTGAGATGAGGTCATGTAACTATTTACCTCATTCAGACTGTTGTACTCATTTTTGTTACCATATCCACAACATTTCAGCCATTGTATGTTCTGACCTTCTTGAGGATCTGCCTATATTTCTGAGATGAGGAATTCTAACTGTTTATACTATTTATATTATTTGGACTGTTGTTCTCATCTTTATTGACATATTCACATTTCGGCCATTGTATCCTCTGACTGTCTTCAGGTGATATACATTGGAATCTTGAACCAAACCTGTTATTTAGTTCAGAGGGTCAGATTGTTCTAATTTCATGTGTCCCCAAGGATACATGGCTCAGTGAATAAAAGCATTGGTTGAGTAATCCAAAAAGCGACTTGACCCAAAGAGTTGTGAGTTCAATACCTGTTCACAGCAGAGGAAAAAAAAACTTGGAGAGTTCAGTGACTAAAGGGAATTAACTGATACTGAGATATCCAAAAGAGGCATAGCACATGGAATTAGATCAATCTATCCTCATGGACTAAATAAAGGGTTCAGAGCAAAATTACAACATTTATCACCTGAAGAAATGGCCAAAACATTGTGACTATGGCAATATAGACGAGGGCAACAGCCTGAACAATGTAAAGTGTAATAGTAAAAATGTTGGAAAATTTCCTCATAAATGAAAAGAAAACTGGAGGCAACAGAAATGTGGTTCTATAGAAGGATGCTGAGAATACCATGAACAGAGCATGCAAACAACAAAGAAGTTTTAAAGAAAGTGGAAACAAAAAGGACATTTATACTCAGAATCAGAAAGAGACAGATGAAATTTCTTTGACATATAATGAGGAAGGAGAACTTGGAGAATTTGATATTCACAGGACATATCAAAGGAAAAAGGTACAGTGGGAGGCTGTGTGCCATCTAACTGATGAGCTTGTATGAATGGATGGCAGAACGTGGGTGGAAAGGATGGTAAAAAGATAAACATTACTAAGTGCTATAAGGAATATGAAGTTGTGGAGAGCCTTGATCGGCCATGTCCTGAAGGGACACAGCACATAGAAGAAGTTTCAAAAATTTCCAAATTATTAATAATATCAGCAAGTAGGTATGCAGCTTTAGGGGTCTTTCTCCAAATTTAGACCTCCTTTTTGCAAGGATGTGAGAGATTCTCTGTCTTTTCTCCCTTAGGTGGGGGCTTATATATCTTCCTGTCATTCAGTTGTACCATGTGTGCACATTCTGCTTATATGTCAGGTGCAACCAGTTATATTCTTTGAGGCATGAATGTGCACCCAATGTCTATGAGATCATCTTGCAGATCAACTGTCTGATGTAGCTGGTTCCTTCTTTTATTGCTAAATGTATTTTTGTAGTTGTTCAATATTCACTCTTAAATTTGTATAAGAAATCACTAAGATTCCAATGGAAATTGAATGTATGGGTAATGCAGTGGATGATGGCATGAAAAGTGGAATCAGCAAGCTGAATTCAAATTGTGGGCTAATTTGTTGCATTCACTTTTGCACAAATGCCCTTGGGAAAGGTGTAAATTTCTTCCCCTCCAGCTATGGATTAAATAGCAAAGTAGACAGATCCACTCTAGCCTTGGATGGCAATCAGTCTAAATGAAGGAAAACCATTGAATAGAACATAGAACCATGGAAAGGCAACAGAAAATCACTCCATCAACTTTTTCAAGAATGTATCAAATTTTCCAAGCCCTCTTTCCTCATTATGTGTCCTTGGAATTTCAACTGTCTCTTCCTGATGTCAAGTATAAAGTTTACATTTTGTTTCCATTTTCTCATCATTGTTTCATGTTTGGTCCATGTTATTCTCAGCATTCTCCTGTATAACCACATTTCTATTATTTCAAGTCTCTTCATCTGTGCAGAGATAATCCAGCATTCACTGCCATATAGAAGGACTGATATTACACGACATTTCAGTATTCACTTTTTTGTTTCTAACAAAATTTTCTTGTTTCTTAATACTTTGCTTAGCTTTTAAAAGGCAACATTCACTATCTCAATGCACTTCAGTGTTGCATTTTCTGTCCTCTGGTAAAAAAATCCCAGATATTCAAATTGTTGTACTGGCTTAATTTTAGAATCTCTAATTTGTAATTTGTATGTTGAGCTGTTTCTTTTGCTGACAACCATGCATTTTGTCTTCTTGCAATTGAGTTTAGTCCTTTCTTCTCACTTTCCTTTACTACCTTCTGCAGTTCTTGTAGTTTCCTTTCTGTGTCTGCTACCAACACTGTGTCATCTGCATATCTTATGTTGTTAAGATTGTGGCTACAAATAATGATTGTGGCATAATTTATCAAATGTTTGATAGGAAAATAATTCTTTAACAGTGCAGGCTGTCTTGTTTGACTGATGTAAGGTGAAAACATGACACACAGACAAAATTTAGTCTCATGCAAATTTATAAATGATGATCAAATTTGTATTATTCCCCATAGTTGATGTAGGAGGGTCTGTAGCTGGCTACTTATTTATGAGCTCACCTGTCTGCTTGAGTGGCTAGCCAATCCCTGTTGCTGATACCTGCTCAGGCACATTTATACTGCAACTATACTGAGTGGGTCTTAGTTACAGTTTCTGGGAGAGAGCACAAACTCTGGCATGATCAACAGTTTGAACAAGGCCAGTGCATTCAAACCCTCTGTCATGATGACTTGTGACTTTGTGCTAGCACAACTATTGACAGCCTTCATATAGTAATTTTATCTACATAATTTCCTTCATAAAACTTGGATCACTCGGTGGTTTGTTTTTCAGAAAACTTTCCAAAGGAGCCACATTCTGAGATCTCCTTTCCAATCTGATAATATCAGGTAGTCACCTTTATGAAAAATTGTCTACAGTGAGACTCAAACCCGAGCCTTGTGGTTGGAAAGCAAATGTTCCAGCCACTTGTCTCACACCCCCAATTGTAGAAACATACCAAGAATGAAGTGGAGCACTGGTGTAGCTAAAGTGTGTGCTGCCTGGGGGTAGAGTGTCTGCTGCCTGGGGCAGCCCTTGAAAAATACAACATAAGGATGATAGATGCAGTTACCCCCTGCCAAAGTTGTTATTTAAAAATACTGTAACTTGAAAATGTTGATGAACCCACCAAATCATATAGTTTGTGCCTACCTTGAGTTATTATGTCCCTGTAGTTATTATGTCCCTGTATCTTAGTTGAATAGTCTTTTAAAAAACCTATCCTAATATATTTGTCAATAACAGAAAACCTATTTTATGCATACTTTTTATAAGCGTGGAACTTCATTGATTTAAAAAAAATAGAAATGAATGCTATCCCAAAATATTTTGGTAAAAGGAAATATTTTCAAAGTGGCAGACTGTCCATAAGATACTTTATCGGCCCCAAACTTAAGAGTTTTTTCTCTTAAATAAAATGTCTATTTTACAAACATTTCCTAAAAGCAAAACAGAAGTGAAAAAGTTTTCACTTCTCTGAATTTTTCTGAATCAAAAAAGAAATGTAAAATTGTAGCGTCAATACTGATTCTACAAATATTTCATTAAATAAGAATAAACTAAAAAACATGTAGTTTTAAATGTAATTTAAAGAAAAAGATTAACTTTAAATGTATCAATTTTTAGAGGTGTGCAAGGCCATTACTTAACAATGAGATAAATGGAATTAGGGATCAGAGTTCAGATTCCAGCTGAGATAGTTTGTGTTCAATTCACACTAATGCCCTTGGGAAAAACAAGAATCTATCTTGCTCCCCAGTTATGATTTAAATAGCAATGTAGAGTAGGCTTTTTAGACAATTCTGAATTTAAAACCATGAGGTGAATCCATTCCTCCCCACTACCAGCTATCGGTATAAAATAGCAAAAAGTCAATGGTGAAGCTTGCAATCTCACCACTACTCACTAAAATATGATTAATATACAAGCTAAACAATTAATTGGATCCTGGATCTGGGATCCAGAATTAGTTTCTGGACTATTTTCTAACTAGAAGACTTTCAAAGTGTTTAGATGAAATGTCATTATTTATACTTGGACCATTGTCCTGAGTTTATTATTATACTTGGACCATTGTCCTGAGTTTATTGTCCTGATGAAGGTCATAGGGTTCAATGACCAAAATGTGGCAACAACAACAATAATAAAGACAATCTGAGTGTAAATAATGATAATTCCTCATGCCAGAAATTCAGGTCCTCCATCTAAGTACTGACCAGGCTTGATGTTGCTTAACTTCAGTGGTTGAATGAGAACTGGTGTTTTAAGTGTGATTTGCTTTTTATGACTTATCAAGCTTTTGTTAGTTATTTAAAGCCAGAAAATATTTTTAGATTGTATGAAATTTTTGGAGATAATAATGATTTAATGATACAAGTCCTACTAATTAACCCATAGCAGGGGGAGAAGAGGTGTATTCATGCTTTTTCCAAGGGTATTTATGCCTAAGTGAATATAACAAACCTGACTGGAATTTGAACTCAGATCTCTGTTTTCCAGTTCTGTGCAATTATCCATTACAACACTTTGTATTCCCCTGCAATAACCCATCTAGGTGCTGACCAGATGCTGCTCAACTTCAGTGATCAGACAAGAACTGGCATTTCAATATGACATGTCCATACCATATTCCTGTTATGAATGTGATTTTTATGTTAGCAGAAATTCAGAAAGAGATGAAGTGTCCTTAAAGAATAATTTTAAATGAAATATTCAATTCCAGGTATATTGTGAAGTTTTGTTAAAAAGATTTTAAAATGGAAATTTTAAAGTTTTCAATAAATTGCCTTTAACACTAATTTACAACTTGAGACATAATTTCAAGCCTGTTAAACACATGTATTGTTTTAATATTATAATAAGTACAATTTTGAAAAAGCAATTGGTAGTTTCTATGAATAAAAAGACTGCTTTAAATACATTTTTTATTTTTTAAATGATAATTTTTTTCTTATGGTTTTACATGTGTCTTTCATGACATAACTTATGCTACCATAGATACCAAAGAAAAATTGAAGAAAAGATAAAAATTGTTTTATTCAAATAGAAAATGATGGAAGTGAACAGTGAGGAGAAATTTTGAGGGAAACAAACTTAGGCACTGTTTTAACAAGATGTGCTGACTGTTGGGGAGATGACTTTAGTAGGAAATACTTTTTGAATTCAAATTCTGGAGTTGTTGCATGTATGCAAATATGAGGTTTGCATGACATAATGAGAAGGAATTTCCCTTTTCTTGTCATATGGTAGTTTTAACCAGTTGGATAAATTGGTGGTGGATTACGGAAAGAGAAACTGCCCCTTTTTGGACCATGTGATGAGGTGAGCCAATTGAATCAAATTACTTGAAAATCTCCAGATATTCAGGTGTGCAGCGATAGTAAAGTTAGTTGTGGGAAGCTGTAGCCATATCGTAGGGTTGAGAGCCAAATGCAATAAAAGAGTGTCCAAAAAATAGCCTATACTAGATCCTGAAATTAGAAGCTGAGGGAAATCTCCTAAGTCAGATCCTGTAAATTGATGCTGAAAGAAATTTAAAGTTAAACCCAAAATTAATTGCTGAGAGAAAGTGCCTAAGCCTAGCCAAATGTTAGCTCATTTATTCCAAGGAAAGACCAGCTGTAAAAACCTGCAATATTTCTTGCCACTGAAGTAGAACTTATAATTTGTAGCACCAACAAGCTTGCATTTCTCATGAAAATATTAAAGTCTTGATATCAAGATCCTTTTGGTGAAGCTACAATGGGGTGGGTGACATCAATTCAATCTTTCATCCTGTGATTCTGTAAGCCAGTAGTTGCTACAATATTTTGATCTAGATAACGAGTTACTGTTTCATACTTAAATGTTCACAGCATGGTGTGGAGTTTGAATTGGTTGCCATAATAAGGATCAAAATTGTTTGAAGGTGTTACTGGATTGAATAGTTACTGTGACTAACAGATGACCTGAGCAGCAGACAATTTCCATGGGTTAACTCAACTGACAGTGAGATGCCTTTGAATGAACGTGCATAATGCATCACCATTGCATTCACTGGTATTTTTTACAGGTTGTTTTAGCAAAACATTGCATTCTCTTGATCTGTCAATCTAGAGATCAAGTTTAGTTCCCTTCTCAATCCTGGCTTTTCTCATTGTTGAAATGTCATTTTATATTATGGATGAGATTAAAAGGACTAAGAAAACAATAATTCAGTTTGTGGTGATCCTGATATTGGACATTACAGATTTTTTTAAAAAGTGGAAGAGATGTTAGGATACATGTGTGAAATTCTAAAAGTAATTTGAAGGAAGCAAGGTAAAACTGAGATAAGCTATTTTCGTTCCCTATTAAGTGGCTGTATCATTTCCAAGTGGGGGCAATAATATTTCTGGTTCCTTTATTACTTGTACCATATGAAAATGTATTTCTTTTTCTTTTTTTATTCATTATTATTATTTTATTCATTGATTTTCTTTCATTTTCCCACCACTACCATGCTACTACCAAGTAGCAAAGTCTCTAAATCTGGGAACGAATATACCAGTCCCTTTGGTGACCGTTACATGTGGTGCAAATTTTTGTATTTGGCAAAGTTGCAATTGGTCACTAGTTTGAAGCAGGAGGAGTTACAATTTGTTATGGCTTAGGTGGAAAAATTTCAACAAATTTGAATTCAATATTTTCAAAACAAATAATTTTTGATACATAGAGAAATTTTAGATAAAAAATAACAAGTTAAGAATAGAAAAACATATACTTGTATGCAAAGGAAGAAAAGCATCAATATTTAAACTTTGTGTCTCACCCCCCCAAAAAAAAAAAAAAAAAAGGTCATTCCTTGATACAAAAGGACCATCATTTTATTGTTTTAAAAGCTTGATACCAAAATAAACAAATGAAAAAGTGGATTACTGTAAAATTGACTTTTAAAAACTCTATTTATTTATTAGAAATAAAAAAAACTTATTGTTTTTAAAAATGCAAATATTGATTGTAGTTGGTTTAATTTAAAAAATTTTTAAAAAAGATTTTTTTCAAATGAAAGTTATAAAATGGTAAATAAATGATTTATAAATATTTCATTTTTTCAGTGTTCAAACCCAAAGTTTAAATGCCTTGATTTTTTGAAGGTAGGTTATTAGAAAAACATTATATTCTTCACTTTGAATTATGAAGACACAAAAAAAAAATCTTCCCTGTTTTCAGTTCCCTGAAGCAATTTGGCCTTTCACCAAACTCAAGTCAGCTGAGCAAATATTAAGATCCACAGGCTTTAAAAAGGTACATTTCAGTTCAAACCCAGGAAATGCTGATTTTGAGATTCCTCCTCTTCACTTTGAACAATGCTATCCTTTCCCCACAAGAACCAGATAATATCAAAATGGAGCTATCCTACCAGATTTCAAAATATAGGCTATAGGGGGGTTGCCCAATCCTTATTTTCAAGCCTTGATAGTATTTAAAATCTTTACATAGTCTTGTAAAACTTATTTTCCACTTTACAAGCTCTTTCTTCACAGGCGCAATGTTGCAAGTCTACAGCTACTCTATGGCTATTTCCATGGCAAATGTTTGGATGAACTCCATTCTTTAATTCCACCAGTTCTGACCAAATTAAATCCATGAAATCAAATCAAACTCATCCCTTCTGTATTCCAATTGTAAGGAGGAAGTTCAACTCAGACAGCCTCTGCCCAAGAATGCCTGCTCTGTGGAACAGCCTCCCATAAGGAATCTTCAAGGGTCAATCATTAATGTGCTGTCACTTCCCTCTGTCTTTTCTACAAATATTTTTATGGTAAGTGCTCTAATGAGCTACTTTTGTTAGTTCCCAATCTGCATGAATTTAAATGTGGTACTAGGTGGCATCTCAGCTTCATCCTTTCACTGTCAAAACGGTTAAATGTAGCCATCTCTTCTACTCTAATAGCTTCATGTCTTGCACTTCCCGTCTGTGGAACTCCCTTCCTCTTACTTGTTTCAATGGTAGCTATAATCTTAAACTATTCAAATATAATGTCAATCAACATCTCCAGATGCCTTGATCTATTTCCTATCCTTGTCTTCATCCATTCCTCTATCACGCCTCTTTACTCTTGCTCTGACTCCTCCTGCAGGCTAGTGGCATTCCTGCCTTGCTTAGGGTGAAATGCTTTAAAAAAAATTAACTATCCTTCATATCATAATATTCACTTCACACACTTCATGCAGTAACCTTCTACCTTGAGTGGCTCTTGAGTCCTGTATTGGGTGAACATTAGGAAAAAAAAGTAGTGAGAGGAATGATAAGATCAGCCAAAGTGTTACTTATGAAGTGACACTTCTGAATATTTTGAATTTTTTCCCATTGCTTTTCTGTTTATGTCTTCAATAAATTTTGAGTAATTCAAAAGTAGCAAGACAGAAGAATACTGGTTTGGTCACAACACTTTTGGCTCACCTCCTGATATCTTTGCAATCAGCTAACTGAACATAATAAGTGAATGGATAGGTAGGGGCGGGGCAGTTGTTTTCATTGTTTATTTTACAATGGTGTGTCAATTAGAGGTGTACACTTGATCAGGAAAGGAAAGAAACCAATAGTTCCAACTAACTGTGGTGGTGGGGTATATCATTTGGTAACCTTTGTTGCAGCTCATTCAAGAATGAAGAAAGGGAAAGACACAGAAAAAAGGGAAGAAAAAGAAAGAGAGGAAGGGAGGTTAAGAAAGAAAGAAAGAAAGAAAGAAAGAAAGAGGTTAAGGGCTTAGAATTAAGAAAGAAACAAACAAGTATCTGTCTATATTTCTGTGCCATGTGTCCTCAAGTGGATAAAGGTGTTAGTTAGATCCAGTGACAGGACCCAAAGAGTGTGAGTTAAGGCTTTGGAGAACTTTCAGAGGGAAATTAACAGGAGATAACTGATAACTGACATCCATTAAAACATGGCACGTGGAACTAGAACAGTCTATCCCGGTGAGTGAAATAAAGGGTTCAGTTCGACATTCCAACCACCTGAAGAAGGCCGGAGCGTACAACGACTGAAATGTTGTAATAAATATGGCGACAAAGATGAGCACAATAGTCTGAATAATGTAAATAAGAAACAAACAAATAAACAAAAAGGATAAACAATATGGAAGAAGAGAAAGCAGAAGAGAGAAAGCAAAGGAAAAATAGAGAGAAAGCAAAGAAAGGCAAAAATTAAAGAAGAAAGCAGAAATATAAGGATGAAAAGAAAAGAGAAAAGAAGGAGAAAGAAAGAAAAAAGAATGAAAAGGAGAAATGAAACTTAAAAAATAGTTAAGGGAAGATAGAGCTCAGTATATAGCTGATTTCATAAAATTCATCTTTTGCCAATACATAAAAATTCTACAGAATATTTTGCATTGTTCCATATAGTTTTTGCTTTTAGATTCAGAAGTCTTGCATATGTGGTAATAAAATAAGCACATCCCATCTACCCTCTCGTTTGTAACCATCCACTCTAATAAAATAAACGTTTTCAGTGATAAAGCTGAATTAGTCAAATAAAGCTTCTACTTAGAGTTGTTGATATATTACAGCATTTAATTTCAAAAACAGATATTCTGGATAAATAAACACATTGCCAACAATAAGCAATAATTTCAGAATCATTATAAATATACTTAAACCTTTAATGTATTACCTGATTATGGTATTATTTATTTTGACTTTTTTTTCTCTTATTATGACCATCTCACACTTGTCCCACCCAATAAGATGCCAAATCAATACAATTATTATTTGGTTGGTAACAGAAATCAGAATATCATTCAAGAATATTTACAGCGTAGTCAAAAAAACTAATTTTAAGAATCAGCCATTGATTGACTTGGAGAATCATCTGACTGAATCTAAATGAATCCATTCCAAAGAAAATGAAGAAAGTAGAATAAGAATGCAGATTCTATGCTACCAACACTTTTTCCTCGCTTTATTCTTTCCTTTCAGACACATTTCTTAAGTCACACATTCTGACTTTGAAATGGATTATCATTAACCAGAAAAAAACATTCCTTCTGCTTTTGTCAGCTTTCAAAAGAGCAAAAGAATTTCATAAAAGTCTTTTGGATACTGAGTATAGATTTTACTAAAATTGTTTTGGAACCATTTCAAGAATATTTAACAAATGTAAACATTTATCTTAACCCTTTGAGCCGTGCATCCCTGAACAATTTTAACCCTTCTGCCTGAGCTCCTGAGTAATTATTTTCATACTCTAGTTTTGATAAATCATCAAGCATATCAATTACTTGCTGTGCTGTATAGAGTTCTTTTCTTGCACGTTTTCTCCTTGATCACTTCCCTGAAGGTTCAGATTGAGACTCTGCATGCTTCATGTTAAAAAACAATCATTCTATCCAAAACACATACATAAAACACAATGAAAAGGCATGGACTTGTTGGTATTAAGTCACTTTTCTCTATCACTGTTCAACTGATGATGGATATCATTTTTCTCTACTACTGGTAAAGCGGTGATCAGAGCTCAAAGAGTTAATTTCAAATAACACATTTTTATCCACTAATTATTTATTTTATTTTTCTCTCTTCCCCCCAATAGGAGTAGATAGCTTCACCTATTACCCGGTTCACACTCCTCCCCAGTTTTTTTGGACAGGAGTAAAGGTTTATCTCGTTTCCTGTTTAGGATTGGGTTTCTGGCTCCTTCTAAAGTCTACTATACTATACTTCTAATCTTGCCGACTAAACTTTAAAATGCTATTCACTAATTAAGTCTTTACCTCTTCAAGTCTAGAGTTAGCTGTCATCTTTCCTGCATAGTCCCAAGAACTTCATTTCTTGCTCTTTCTCACACTAATACAACACCATACAGTAACCCTCTCCTCACTACAAAAATAAGTCCAATGCCACATGAGCAATATGAAAAGTCATTGCAAGCCTCTGTTATGGGAGAGTGGATCAATGGGTCAGTAGGCTAACTGTAGTAAGCTGAATTATGATCTGATCTTTTCACTCTATAATGTTAGGTGTGGGTGATGAATATTCAACACTGCATTGACAAAGAAAATCATATTGTTGAAAAATAAATATTTGTTGTATAAATGTTTTTTTATTAATATTAGTCTGCACACTTCTCTGTCTTTCTTTCTTTCTCCCCTCCCTCCCTCTCTCTCATTCTCTCTTTCTATATATATATTTGGTTGGATTGATCAATCCAATCAAATATGTTACCTCTATCTCTGATATTGAGTGCTTTCTAATAAAAGCACATGATATAATATATAAATAAATATATATATATATATATATATATATATATATATATATATATATGATCATAAATAAATAAACATTTTTCAGCACTTTACAAGGCAACAGGCTGTTTCATGCTAGACGCAATCATCATGGCCACAAAGACCAAATTAAATCTAGCATGAAACAGCCTGTTTGTCCTCTAAGTGTTGACTTCAAATGTTCACTTTTTATATTTGCAAAACGCTCTATCACTGATATTGAGCACTTTATCCCATAAATATAGCATACCTTTATACCTTTTAGTATATTTCTTTATATATATATATATATATATATATATATATATATATATATATATTAAAGACATTTTATGTTTATACATTCTTTTAAAATAATTGTTTGACTTTTGTCCATTTCATAATATATATATATATATATATATATATATATATATATATATATAAAAAAAAAAAATTAGTGTTTAAGCCTTTTTTATTATTTCCTTACTCTGTCCTGGACATTGAGTTCTACCTGGATTCTATCCTCTTGGAATTATTTTTTATACATATATATATGTGTATGTATGTATTTATATATATTTAGATATTTTAGATATATGATTGCATATGCATGTGTATATTTACCATTAATATTATCAATCTATATATATATATATATATATATATATATATAGTGATAGAAAATGAGAAAATCTACAGTCAATTGCTGATACTTCCTGACAAGTGAACAGAACAATTACAAAACAGATCATCTACAAAACTCCAGAGTCAAGGTGATGAATATAACATCAATCAGTTAAGTGACAAATTTTATTTGTTAATCATATATTTATATATATATATATATATATATATATATATATATATATATATATATATTATAAAAAAAAATATCAAATTCATCCGATAAAGTCAGTCTGTTTAAACTTTTATTGTATTTTTCCAATTTTAAAATGTTATTGCACACCAAAATCCAAATTATTGATAAACTGCCTAAAGTTCATGTGATTGATTGAATCAAATACTTTTGACTGTCACTGAACAAAAAAAAATATTTAAAAGTGTCTTGGGAATAAATTTGGCATTTTTTAAATGAAGAATTAGCTTATTCTCTCATACAAAATAAACCTAGGAATTTGCTTCATTGTAGAGATGATTGTTTTTTTTTTCAGTACCAGAAGTTTGTGTAAGGAGGATGTGGGTGGTGGGGGTGAAGGATGAAAGTAGCACAAATATTTTTAAGTTTTTTATTTCCTTATAACATTTTATTTTTTTTATGTGATGATCGCTATGTGTTGCAGATCATTTGTCTGAACAGGGAAACTCCTTTTGATCCCATATGTTACAAATGGTTTGTCTCCCCTGTTCATGCATCAGGGAGCACAACGTCTGAATCTGATCATTTCTCCTCTGTTCTCTATTTCTCTATCTCTCTGTCTTTTTGCTTGTTCATTAGCCCAAATTTATATTGCTTTGCATCTGGGATACAACACCCATGCTGCAACTTCCTGCTTAGTGTTTCAGAACAAAGCATGAGTCATTTCCAGATCAGCCCTTGATCTGCACCAGGGTCATTTACTGAGGTCATTTCTGGATTAGACATCAATACCTCTGTGTCATGCATTAAGCATCACATTAATGTTCAAGCCCAGGTAAAAGTCAGGATTTTTAATGCTAATTTTCTAGTGTAGTGGATTGGTAAATAGGATTGTACCTATTTGTATCTGTTAAGTAGAAGTGATATAAAGTGTACAGAAAACTGAGAGGCAAGCAAGAAGTTGACTACTGATCATGTGTCATGGAACAACACAATACAACATCTAGGCAGGCAAGCTCTTCTCAGTTGAATGACAGGCATAATGCAGTCTTCTTTACTACTTTCATTATTTGGCTTTGTATTGTAAGACACAAAGTTTAATGAAATGACCATGATTAACTTATATCAAATTCATTGAAACTGTATGTTATGAATAATCAAGAGTGGTCTCCCCTTGTTTTGTTACTCTCCTCTTTGAGAGAGCTATTTCTGTTTACTGGGACTATAAAAGGACACTATAGATGAACCTTGTATTCTCAGTTAAGTAAAGTTTTCTTAAAGCCTACATCTGCATACTTTTGTCATTACACTGTACAAAGATAATAAAATGAGAACAGAAATAGAGGCATTTATGATCTAGGAATCCTCCCTCCTAGTTATAAACATTCTACAACATGCTGAAATATTGATTCATAAAGGTACAAATAATGTTAATGATGCTTACTTCCGGTAAGGGGAGATAATCTGTGTCCAAAAATTGAGATACAATTAACACTTACCATATTTGCCAGATTCACACCTAGATTTTGGCATGGACTATTTAGACTGATATGCACATATAACAACAAAAAAAATCAAATTACAACCTTACCTTTATGTGAAATTCTCACTAACCATGACGAAACACTTACAGTATTAACACAAATTATACAACTGGTACTTTTTTTAATAGAAAGTTTAATTACCAGGACATTTTTTGGAAAATAATTTTTTTTTTTTATGAAATATACTAGTGCATTTCATCAGGGAGGCACGATGGAGTAATGGATAGTGGCTTGGATTGAGAAATCAGAGAGCCAAGATCAATTCCAGTTGAAGCCATTACATTCACTTATGTGCTAATACCCTTGAGAAAGGTATGAATCCTCTTCTCTCTCCCCCCAGCTATGAATAAATATCAGGACAGACTGGGTTCTATAGCCTTGGATGGCAACTGGTCTACTGCAGAAAAAAATGGCAACCTACTGCAGGAAAAAATCTGCCTTGTCAGTCATGTATCGAAAGATACATGATCACCTAAGCATGTATCACATATGGCAAATAACTGACTGACATTTCATCATGCATTTATTGAAAATTGTTTTAGGTGTTTTTCAAGGAGCCACATCTATCTGCTGATACAGTAAATTCATAATAGCTACAAAGAAATCTACTGGTATCAGTCAACACTAGTATATATGGTAATAGGCAAAAACACAGAAATATGGTAA